TTTGTTGCATCTTTCTTTTAATTGACGTGAAGGTTTTACACTTTAAGACCAAATACAAGGTTTTATAGGAGAAAATTTCAAGTTTCTGTCTTGGCAAATGGTTACGCTAATTCCATTTTAAGAGTTCTTTAATGGAATGAGAAGATTGAATCATAATTAAATTTGCATTTATCTTTTTCAAGAGATCAATAGCGGATTTATGTCAATTAAGGATGACACGGGAACTACTAAACTATCTATTCATCTTGCAAATTCGAAAGTGCAATTTAATCACATGTTCATATCTAATACGACTGATATTTTGAAATTGTCAATTGTTCCAGATATGAAGTTGTTGGTGTGGTAACTGAGATTGGTAGCAAGGTGGAGAAATTTAAGGTTGGTGACAAAGTAGGTGTGGGATGTTTGGTAGGATCATGTCGCAAATGTGAAAACTGTGACAACAATCTCGAGATTTACTGTCCCGATCATATAATGACATACAATGGTATTTACACCGATGGAACCACCACGTATGGAGGTTACTCTGATATCATGGTAACGGACGAGCACTACGTGGTTCATTGGCCGGAGAACTTGCCAATGGAAGCTGCTCCATTGCTAAATGCTGGAATCACAACTTATAGTCCTTTGAAATATTTTGGACTTGACAAACCTGGAATGCATATTGGTGTTGTTGGTCTTGGTGGCCTTGGCCATATAGCTGTGAAATTTGCCAAGGCATTTGGAACTAGAGTGACTGTTATTAGTACATCTGCTAGTAAGAAACAAGAAGCAATTGAGCGTTTGGGTGCGGACTCATTTTTGGTTAGTCGCGACCCTGACCAAATGCAGGTGAATATTATAACTCATGACTTTATACCTCGATCAATCAATCAAGTATGCTTCAATCTTAAACGGGAGTTTGATATAAGAATAGTAATTTTCATTTATACATGTAAACAGGCTGCAGCGGGCTCGCTTGATGGCATCATTGACACTGTCTCTGCAGTTCACCCACTTCTTCCATTGATTAATTTGTTAAAAACTCATGGGAAGCTTGTAATAGTTGGCGCACCAGATAAACCACTAGAGTTGCCTGTATTTCCCTTGCTTTTAGGTACGTTTCTTGAATCGACTGTTTCTATATATATATATATATACATGCATTTATACAGAGGTTATATAATATGATAAACAGGAAGGAAGCTAGTAGCAGGGAGTGCCATAGGAGGGATAAAGGAGACACAAGAGATGGTAGATTTCGCGGCAAAGCATAACATTACACCAGATGTTGAAGTCGTGCCAATGGACTATGTGAATACAGCTATGGAGCGTCTCGCGAAATCGGATGTCAAGTACCGTTTTGTGCTTGACATTGGGAATACATTGAACAAGAGTTAAGACACTGGACTTCTTGTTGTCTCATATCTCTGTATTTTGGGGCAAGAAAACTAGAATTTGGCCGACCATGTGTGTTTGTTAGTCTATTAAGAACCGGATTGCATAATGTATTTTGCCATATATAGGCTTA